CCCAAACACGGAGACCGAGCCCAAACACGGAGACCGACCGTAAACTTTTATTTGGAAACTGCACTGGCAACATTTAGGTTCTGTATTAGCAAGAAATCCAATCCCAATTCCCAATCACTGACACCATCACCACGTCCTACTGCTCAAACCTGAACTAAAATCGACATTTTCTTGCTGACAGAACCAATGTGTTCCTCTATTTTTTTGGGGCTCTCTATTTTTAGGGTGTTAATTTCATAAAAATATTTCATATGGGAATACCTGAGYGAGATTTATGCATTTTTGTTGAGCTTTAAAGCCCGGCAGCGCTCCCAGTTCTCCACAAAAAAGGCTTTGTTCTATATCACAGGCACTGACAAGGTATAAAATCTTTTACCCCTATAAATCACCCCATAAAAAGTTTTAATTTCCATGTCACCACTGTGTTTTACTGCAAAGATTCCGCTTCGATTCCCCCCTCCTTAAATTTCMCTGGGAGCTTTATATTCCTTTCTCCTCACTCTCCGAAATGGAAAATAAAATTTGCTCTATGCAAGAGATGCTTAAAAAAAAAAATTAAATTTACGTCTCGGAGCTCTCTGACATTTATGTTTTGTATTTGTGACAGCTTTATGTTTATTTTCTGCTGAAGCCTTAAAACACAACAATGGAAAGGTGGAAAACAGCCAAGGAGAGGAGTTGGAGCTTCCCTTTGGAATCTCCTCCACCCCTCTGGAATGCGATTTTGCATTTTTCTGATTCTCCCCCTGCTTTCCAAAGCTCTTTCCAGATGTCCAAAACCTCCTCAGATCCTTCAAAACCTCCTCAGAGCCTTCAAATTCGTCTCTTCCCTCCTTTTCCCAGCCATTTATTCTGTTCAGATATTCAATAATTCCTCTCTCTTTCACCACTCAGAATTCTTGGATTTATCCCGACTGCACCAACAAATAACTCAACTGTTCTGATTGAATTTTCTGCRCCTGGCCCGGGCTCTGAGCATTCCTGAGCTCTGGAATCCCCGTTCTTCCCATTCCTGGCACATCAAACATCACAGAACCCCACACTGGGACACTTTCCCCTATCCCAGGCTAATCCCAGCCCCAATTCCAGCCTGGCCTTGGGCACTACTGAAAGGCTGAGCCCAAAATCCCCTTTTTCCTGTTTTTCTGGAGTGTTCCCAGTGAGGAAATTTAAGGGAATTTAAGAATTCCTCACTTCCTGTGGGGACTGGGGGAGATGATAGGAATGGGCAGCTAAGGGATATTTCCAGGAAATCCCATCAATTTTCCAAAGGATTCCCTGGGAAATACCAGGAATTCGGTGGTTTTTGGATGCTGAGTGCACAGACAGCACTGCTGGCTCCAGCTGGGCAGGAAGGTGACAACATTTGTATGGGATGGTCACCCATAATTCCAAACTTGGCTCTTCCCCTGTGAGAATCCTCCCAGCTCTTTTCCTGATTGCAAAATCGTGGAATCCTGGGATGGTTTGGGATGGAAGGGACCTTAAATCCCATCCCATCCCACCCCACCCCATCCATGGCAGGGACCCCTCCCACTGTCCCAGGCTGCTCCCAGCCCCAATGTCCAGCCTGGCCTTGGGCACTCAAAGGGATCCAGGAGTGCAATTCCATCCCAGCAATTCCCAATTCCCAATATTCCACCCAAATCTCCCTTTTCCCAGTGTGACCCCATTCCCTGTGTCGTGTCCCTCCATCCCTTGGCCCCAGTCCCTCTCCAGCTCTCCTGGAGCCCCTTCAGGCCCCAAAAGGGGCTCTGAGCTCTCCCTGGACCCTTCCCTTCTCCAGGGAACATTCCCAACTCTCTCATGTCAGACTGTGCCTCTCCCTGTCCCCTCCTTCATCCCTCCTCTAATTCCATCCTTCCTCTAATTCCCATCTTTCCTCTAATTCCATCCTTCCTCTTGCTCCGCAATCCCACGGTCCAAATCATTTCTCTCCTGCCAACACCTCTCATCCATGGAAATAAAAACAAAGGGCCAGGATTGGGAATTCCCTGAAAATAAAGGAAGTGAATAAACCCAATGTGAATTTGCAGGAGAGCAGTTTGGATTTGCACTGAAGGAATCTTCCAAGGTCAGGSTGGACATTGGGGCTGGGAGSAGCCTGGGACAGTCCCTGCCATGGATGGGATGGGATTCAAGGTCACTTCCAACMCMAATCATTCTGGGATTCTGTGACTCTTTTTCCCAAAAATACATTTTGTCTCCTCCAGGGTGCCTGGAGGTGGCAGAGAGGGCTCAGAGGAGAACCCTGCCCTCAGGGCACGGCTCCTGTCACATTCCCAGAGGACATTCCCAGCAGGAATCGCTGCTTTTTTGGTAATGTCCCAGTTCCAAACAGCTCCCAGCGTTGGCCCCTAATGGGCCATCAGCACTTCCCTGTCATCCCCAGCAGGAAATGTGTGAAAAACCTGTCACAACCTCCATGTGGCTCATGCTCCCAGCAAGGACTCCCAGATCATCCCTTCTCCGGCAGAAAAAACACATATTTCCCTCAAAAATCCACATATTTCCAAAGAAAACCCATGTTTTCCCTGCAAAAATTCACGTATTTCCAAAGAAGCCCCATGTATTTCTGAAAAAAAATCACGTATTTTCAAAGAAAATCCATGTAAAAATCCACATATTTCTGCAGAAAACCCACATATTGCCAAAGAAAATCTGCAGATTTCTGAAGAATATCCATGTATTTCCCAAAGAAAACCCTTGTATTTCCTGAAAAAATTCACATATTTCCAAACACATGTATTTCCCAAAGAAAATCCACATAATTCTGCAGAAAACCCACATATTTCCAAAGAAAATCCACATATTTCCAAAGAACATCCATGTATTTCCAAAGAAACTCTATGTATTTCCCAAAGAAAATCCACATATTTCGGCAGAAAACCCACATACTTCCAAAGAAAATCCATTTGTTTCTGAAGAAATTCCATGTATTTCCCGTAAAACTGCACATATTTCTGCAGAAAACCCACGTATTTCCCAGAGAAAATCCATGTATTTCTGAAGAAAACTCACATATTTCCTGCAGAAAATCCATGCATTTCCCACAAAAATTCACGTATTTCCAAACTCACATATTTCCCAAAGAAAACCCACATATTTCTGGAGAAAACCCACATATTTCCAAGGAAAATCCACGTATTTCTGAAGAAAACTCATGTTTCCATGTATTTCCCGCAAAAATTCACGTATTTCCAAACCCACATATTTCCAAAGAAAACCCACGTATTTCCAAAGACCCCTAAATAATTTCCAGGGGCCCTAAATAATTTCTCCCAGCGAGGAATTTTCTATCCCAGTCATAAATCTGAAACAAAACCTGCCGGAATCCCCACCAGCACCTTTAGGAAGCTGGAAGGTGCTTTGTGCTCAAGCATTTTTAAACTCAAAAAACGCAATTTTCTGTCCATCAGCAGCTTCCAGAGCTATGAAATCCCAAAAAAAAGGTCAAATTTCCCAGTTTTTTTCCCAAGGCTGAATTCCCGGTTTCTGGAGGTGGCAGGAATTGGGAATTACCTGGAAGGAGGTGGGAGGGTTGATGTTCACCCGGGCTTGGTTCCAGTGCTGTCCTTTGTTCCCGCTCGATGACCACAGCGGGTTCTCGATGGCGGTCTGGCCCTTGAGCCGCAGGTAAACATTCAGACTTCCTAAAAAAAAACCAGGAGAAAAACGGGAATTGGGAATGGGAATTGGGAATAGGAATTGGGAAAGCTCTGCCTGGAGCAGGAATTTGGGCTGCCCGCAGCGCTTTCCTCATCCCCGTTCCCGTTTTCCGTGGCGCTCTCAAGAATTTCCATGGGAATTCCTCGGTGTGAGTTTAGGATGTGTTAAAGTTGGGAATGTCGATGGGAATTCCCAGGGGGGAATGGCAGAATATCACACCCAGCATTCCCTGCAGCTCAGGAAAGGCACGAGGCTTCCAGGGAAAACAGGAAAAAGAAATTTTCCGTGTTTTAGAGCAAGAAATCAGCAYTTAAATCTCCCAATCCAGAGAAAAATCAGCAATTTGGTTGTTTTGTAGTGAATTTTTGCTCTTTAGAACTGCCCAGCTTCTCTCTGTCCATTGTTTAATTCCTGGCAGATCCATCTCAGGGAGAGGGGTGACGCTTTAGGAATATTTCTGTAGGACAACAGCAACCTCAGTTAAAAAAACCCAAATAAAGTCTCTCCCTGTGCAGGAAAACCCCACAGAGCTGCCCCTTTCCCCTCTGGGACCATGAATTTCCTGGGGCTAGCACAGACATTTTTTTACAATAGTGTCTCTGGTGAACTTTCCTCTCTCAAAGAGAACCAGATGATCTTGGTGCTCCAAAAACACCCAAATTTGCTCTATATGCATCCATTAAATCCCACAATTTGGGAATTTTGGCCCTATTTGGCACYGTGGCTGCCTGTAGAAGTGTCAGGCAGTGAGGCCTCCATGTGCTCCATGAATTCCGAATATTTCCCTGAATTTGGGACATTCAGGTTCCCCTGGGAACGGGATTTTTGGGGTGCTTGGCACAGCTGCTGCCACAAACGACATTTCCAAGGAAAACTTTGGGATTTGAGGCGGTGGCTCAGGGACTCAGCTCCTGCTCAGGAAAAGGATTTTCCCAGAAAAAGCTGAACAGGGATGGGATGGGATGGGATGGGATGGGATGGGATGGGATGGGATGGGATGGGATGGGATGGGATGGGATGGGATGGGAATCATGGGATCCATGGGATGAGATGGGATCCATGGGATGGGGTCCATGGGATGGGGTCCATGGGATTTGGGATGGGATCCACGGGATGGGATCCACGGGATGGATCGATGGGATAGGATGGGATGGGAATCATGGGATCCATGGGATGAGATGGGATGGGATCCATGGGATGGGATGGGATGGATCCATGGGATAGGATGGGATGGGATGGGATCCATGGGATGGGATTTGAGATGGGACAGGACTGGATGGAATTTAAGGTCCTTTCCAACACAAACTCTTCTGGAATTCCAAGCTGTTTGGAGCTCATTCCAACCCAAAGTCTTCCTGAATTCTGAGCTGTTTGGAGCTCATTCCAACCCAAAGTCTTCCTGAATTCTGAGCTGTTTGGAGCTCATTCCAACCCAAAGTCTTCCCGAATTCCGAGCTGTTTGGAGCTCATTTAGCAGCTCCTGCCCCTGTGGATCAATCCAGGAGCTGCCCTGACCCCCTGGATCATTCCCAATGAGAAACCCCTCTCCACACTGACAGCAAATTCCAAAG